ATTGATATCTAACTAGACAGTTACAAAATTGTTTGCCATAGTGACATCAAGTTCCTACAACATGAAGTTGCATGCGTTTGCAAAAATACCAAGATTTCGATTTTGATTTTTTTTTCGGCTAAAACCTCAAGTTTTAGGGACGATGTCTATTGGTACATGGAAACCTTGAACATGAATCTTTTTTTTGACGTTGTGATATACAGGGTGTTCCATTAGAAATAGTGGAGAATTTCGATGTTGAATACTGGATTTTTTTTTACCCGCCCCGTATAAGTTTCAAAAAAATTTGAAACCTACTGGAAAAAACTTTAGACCAAGAGAAATCGAATGGCACAAACCGCAGGTAGCTAGCTCACCTGGTTTAAAAGTTATAAGCATTTAAAATGGGTCACTCTCGGCTGAGACACCCTGTATTATCCGTTCACAATCCGATGTCCACAGGTACAGGTAAAATTTATCACCTTTCAATGCTATTTGATAGGGAAAGGTGATAAATTTACCTGCACCTGTGGACATCGGATTGTGAACAGGATATATAGATATACTGAGCAAGTGCGATGTCATAAAAATATATCATTAGTGACGTCACAGGCAAATTTCATAGCTTTGTATCTCCATCAATTTTTGACTAAGAAGAAAAAGAAAAATCACATGTTGACTGTTATCGACTAACGAAATCAGCGATAAAAAAAAAATGGATGCAAGTACCGTAATGTTGAATAGCCCAGGTGCAGGCTGAAGTCTCCTTCTCAATCTGGCTGTACCGTTGTTCAACCTCATTCAGGGCTCTGCTTGCATAGGCTATCACTGTGTTTTCTTGTGCTAAAATAGCACCAACTCCAACTGGTCCAGCGTCTACAATCAAATGTGTAGCTTTGTTGATGAAAAAATACGAGAGCTTGGTTATCTTGCGTAATTCTTGTTTAATGTGTTCAAATTCTTGTTGATGTTCTGTAGTCCAATACCAAATACTGTCTTTTAATGTTAATTTTATCAGGGACTTTGTATTTTTAGAAAGGTTGTGCAAGAACTTTCCTATGTAGTTAACCATTCCAAGGAAACTTCACTTTGGTTAGTTGGAGGTTTCAAATTGAGTATACTGCAAATTTTTTGAGAATTCCTTCATTGGAAAACACAATCTTTGAGACTCCAAAAACACATTTTGATATGTTTAGTGTTGAGTTTAAATCTTAATCTTTCCAGGATAGCTAATAGGGATTTATTGTGTTCTCCAGGTGATCTACCATATAAAGGGTGTTCCAATAAGAGGTTTCGGATGTTTTTTTCAATTCAAACGAAAAGCAAACTAGGAGACATTTAATACTTTATAGCAATAAGTGAAATGTTTATAATTATACGTGAAACACAATATCTAACAAATGGCCACAGCGACTTCTCTCACAGCATACAATTCTTTTGCCAAAATTTTCGATCACATCTGTGCACATTTCCGGTGATATCTCACAATTCATGAATAATGCGCCGAATCTCATCTTTCAACTCTTGAATTGTTTGGGGATTGTTCACTTACGCTTTACTTTCCCAATAAGACGGCGCAACATGTCACACAGCAAGAGAAACCATTGATTTATTGCAAACTTGGTTTGAGGAAAAACTTCTCTCAAGAAATGGGGATGTTAATTGACCGCCTAGATCTTGCGATCTAACGTCACTAGACTTTTTTTCGTGGGGTTACATCAAAAATAAAGCGTTTGTAAACAATCCCCGAACAATTCAAGAGTTGAAAAATGAGATTCGGCGCATTATTCGTGAGATACCACCGGAAATGTGCACAGATGTGATCGAAAACATTGGCAAAAGAATTGTGTGCTATGAGAGAAGTCGCGGTGGCCATTTGTTGGATATTGTGTTTCACGTATAATTGTAAACGATCTTGTTACTTATTGCTATAAAGTAATAAATGTTTCCTAGTTTGCTTTTTGTTTGAATTGAAAAAAACATCCGGAGCGTCTTATTGGAACACTCTTTGTAATAAGTATGTCATCACTCAGGTTAATGACGTTAGGTACGTTAACAAGTGCTTGTATGATAACATTTTGGAAAATATCAGCATTAATACCAAAGCTAAAGTCTCTTGTATCCTAAGCTTGTATCGGTATAACCTTGTATGAGTGAAAAAAGTTTTTATGTGTCTTGAAACTTCATCTAACAATAATTGGTGATAACCATGTTTCAAATAAAGTTTACTAAACAAAACACAGTGATTAAATTGTGCAATGATATCATCAATTGTTGGGGTGATATATCTCTCTCGAATTATCGCTTTGTTGGGCTGTCGCATGTCGACACAAATTCTGATTCTATTATTGTTCTTCGGGACTACGACAATAGGTGAAACCCATGGTGTAATCCTTCTGCCTTTTCAATGATGTCTTGTTTTTCTAGACGCTCTAATTCCTCCTCAACTTTACTTCGTAAATGAAAAGGAATTCTCCTATGCTTTTGAGCTACTGGTTTTACCTCTCTGTTTATGTGTAGTTTTACTTTAAAGTCTTTAAGTTGACCAGCATGCCAGAAATTTACCAATAATGTCTAATTTGTGTTTAGAAGCATAAGGGAAAATGTTGCTTCTGCTTTCTGTTAAAACAACGTTTTTTTTTTTTTTTTACGGATATGCGCACTCGCAAGGAAATGTCCTATCACGCTCGAGAAGCGGCAAGTGCGCGGAAATGTCGGTGTATGTTGGTCTTGAAACGGTTCAGGTTGTAACCTGCAGGGAAAACCGTCGCAGGGAGTTTATTCCACAGCGATGCTGTTCTCCAGAGATATGAATTCTGATATAATGAGGTTCTTGGTGCCTCTAGTTTGACAGTAAATTCATGGTTACCGTCTGTTTGACGGGTTCGCCTGGTAGGCGCTACTCTCGGTGGAATCATACGTGCCAACTCTTCAGAGCATTTTCCGTGATAGTACCTGTAGAAGAGAGATAAATCGCCCACAGATCTGCGATGTTCGAGACCATCCAAGTTACGAGTAAGTGCGGGGTCATTGATCAGCTTGATAGCTCGTTTTTGCACGGTGTTCAAAAGCATTAAGGTATGTTTGGGTGCTGCACTCCATATATGTGAGCAGTACTCCATAGTTGCTCGAATCTGGGCTTTGTAGAGTGTCAGCAATTGGCTTGGTGTGTACAGATGTCTTGTACGAAATAGCACCCCCAGCTTTTGGGACGCCCTTTTAGCAATATCTGCCACGTGACTGTGCCAAGACATGTTAGTTTCTGCAGTAACCCCCAAGATGTTCAACTGACTCTGTAATGTGACAGCACTTCCAGATAGCATGATGTTTGGCTCACCGGTGCTGGTCTTTTTTGAAAACAGAGCTGCTTGGGTTTTCTGCGCGTTGAACTGTACAAGGTTTTTGTTACCCCAGTCCTCTATTATCTCCAGGTCGTTATTTATCTGCGATATTTGAGTTAGTCTAAGATGATGGAATTCACGTGCGGAAAGACCTGTGGGTGGTATGAGTGAGGAGACTACATTGCCATCGTCTGCAAAGCAATAAAGTGGATTTACTGTTTTATCTATGAGGTCATTTATGTAAATCAGAGTTGGCGAAAGGATTGCTCCACCTGTAAAATAAATGATTTTATTTTCTACTTTACTAATATAGATCCATAATACCTAGGAAACGAAATACGTTAACAAACCTATAACAACCTGATCCATAACGCCCGCTTTTGCGGGCGTTATGATCTATAACGCCCGCTTATAATACCTTAAGGTGTTTTTGTTGTTGTTGTTGTTCTATTAATTTGCACTTTACCCTAGGCAGCCACTAAATGTCTGACCGAAAATAATTTTCGGTCTAGCCAGGATTCGAGCCCGGTCCACCATCAATGTTTCCCATGTAGTCCAGCGCGTTAACCCACAGGACCACCACCGTTGCCTTGCCTTATGAGATGTTTATAGATATATTAATTTATTTCGTTTCTATGTACAGGTCGCAGGTACAGGTACAGGTCACAGGTACAGGTACATGTCAAAATACCAAACAATATTCTGTCACACAAGTTTAACTGATTTTGTTAATAACAAATTGATGAAAAAACATTGTGTTGAGTAGAAAATAAAGCATTGTATGCACCACGGGGATTTCAAGATTATAATGCCGTTCAGGCGAAATATATCCCTCGGGCCATAGGCCCTCGGGCTAGTTTCGCCTTCGGGCATTATAATCTACATAATCCCCTTGGTACATAAATAGCTATTAAGTACCTACCTACATTTTTTAAACAAATGCAAGGGTTTTATATCTTTATTGTTTTCTGGTAAATCATTGTGAATTTTAATAATAATAAAATGGGTTTTAAATTGTAATACATAATCTTAAATTTTTATTTTAACGAGTTGCATAATTCGGAAATTATCATTCCTTATTAAAAGTTTAAATTTGATATTTTTTGTTTTGTTAGCAGTGAGTGAATAAATTGAAATTTTTAAATTGTATAACTTATGTAAGCTCAGATAACCAAGTAGTTTATATATTATAAATTAATACGCAATTGGTTCTAGAAGAGGAATTATGTGAATACATTTAAGTATTTCACGTTAACATAATACCCCGACTAAAGAAGATAAACTTTGTAACATGTTGATTATATGTTCTATGGTTCCATGTTAAATTTTCATCTATGTAGAGTCTCAAGGAAATGGGTTTCGCGTCTCAGATACTTTTTTTCAACTTCCACGCTACAGAAATTGCATCAAATCTGCAAGGGCTTACGCTGGCGCAGATAGGATTCGTGGGTTGAACTTTCTTCTCATGAATAAACATTCATTTAACTCACTTGGTGTATAAATAACTAATAACCTCGACAATCAGAGAATGCCATTTGTTGACATGTTTCAAAAATTCCAGCTAGCAAAAGTCGTCTGCGAGCAACATAACATTTGCGGTGAGAGTAATTTGTAATTTCGTCAGATAGATTTTGTTGCATCAATTTTTTGCTATTCATAGAATTAAAAATATGCACTTACAGATTTACACAAAAGCCCGCAACTTTTCGTTATCAATAAGCAATCGAAAATTTCATCAATCAGTCCAATAATGCCAAACAAAAAAGTTGAGATAGCTTTATAAGAGTATCCTGAAATAAAGTTTCAATTAATCAATAATCATTCCCGTATTGCTCTTACCTAAATTTTCCGACGACATAGTTTTGATGTAATGATACAAATAAAAGCTAAAGAGTAACAAGGCTCCTAGGGAAACGAAAAACGAGAAAAACAATTGGAAAGAAGCTATATCGTTCAATCTCTTAGCCAAATAGCTAAGTCTAAAATGCATTTTGCAAATACTGTTGAACTTTTCAGCTACACTGTGATCGTAAAAGGTCAAGCCTAAAAAAATACCTGATAAGGCATGCAAAATACATTTAAAAAAAAAATTACCTGGAACAACAAGCGATAATCGTTGATTTCTTGAAGCGAATTCATCTATAGCTGTATTAATCATTTGAAATCTCAAATGAAGATGCAACATAAAAAACACGAATCCCATTTTGAGAGTACTTTTTGTAATGTGATAGACGGCTACACAAATTACAATGATCCAAGGTTTTTCAAAGGCTTGTTGATAAATTACTACTTTTGCTACAAACAAGAAGACGCCAAGTGAAATGAGATAGGCAATTGATTTTTTTAGAGTTCGGCAATTGGTAAGTAGGCCTAAAAGTATTTTTTAAATTAAAATATTGGAAGTATCAGAATAGATATCCGCACCAAGTTTTTCCATTGCAGCATCGCTGGTCGCCAAACTATTCAACCATCTAGCTGTACTGTATTTAGCACAATGTCCCATGGCAACTTGCATCAAAGTACTCACACAAAATATTACGTAAAAAGCATTTCTGACTAGAATGTAAAATGTCGTCTGAGTGTCAAGTGTTGCAGACATTTTTAGTCCAAGAATGTAGAGACTCAAATAAGTTGTCAGATATAGCAACGAGTATATTCGAGTTTTCCATCTGTCTTCAGTTTCTATTTTATAAGTGGTTTGGTTTAGGGAAAAATAGAAAATACCTAAAATAATATGGACAAATTTTTGTGTTTTAAATGGTGCATTCATGTTGATTCTATTTAAAATTTTCTCTTACACAGCAAGCTTAAATTTCAAAAACATATAAATATTTAGTGTATGTTACTTGATTACCTGTAATTTTTCCAATCAATAAAATATTCCCTAAAGAATTCAAAATTTCAGCTAAATGTTTTCTTGATATTACTTTTCGTGTATTTTTAGGATGTACTTTTGAAAAAATCCTGTTTTTGAGCATATTATTAGCTCCTCAAATCTTTGAAAAATATATTAAATTTTGAAAAGTTTTACTTTCACAAACGGAAAAAACTATGCAAATCTACTGTCAATGCAGTTCTAATAATATTAAGTAGAAGACCAAGTAACCAAGACTTGTGATCCAATTGCCATAATTTATCGGACTTCAATTATACAAACTGAAAATAATATAATAAAAGGAAAGAAATTGATATGAACGCATTAAATTTAATGAACCAATTTTCCAGGAATACAACAAATAAAATCTGTTCTGTCTACTTAGCTAATTAGTTTATTAGCTAAAGGCCTGTTTTTTTATGTGGCAGAAGGGCAGAACCAATTTTCCCAGTATACAAATGTTTTGGAGTTTGTTGTATCATTATGTATACTTATTATTAGCTTTAAAATGACCTGTGTATGTTTCCAAAGATTCTAGATTACATTAACGAAGTAACTGTAACGACGTTACTTTCCTGAAGTAACTACAGATCGTTATTTTGTTAAAATAACGAGTTACTATGAAAGTATAACGCGTTACTATGAAAATAACGCGTTTATATGGAATAATTTAAATAATGATTGTTTTTCAATTTAGAACTCATCCTTCAACTTCCAACTTATAGAGCTTTTAATATTTTATGATGTAGATTAAAGAATTAATGGTCAAAAACAAAGCATCTGATTTCATTTTTGAATATATATTATTAAACATAACATAACAATATAGACTGGTCGACAATTCAAGCAGACCATGCAAATTTTGATTTATTGACTTTGCAAAATTTATAAGGGAAGTTAATTTCTGAACGCATCTATCTGTTCCAGTCTTTTTTGCTTTCTAAAGACACTATATGCAGACACTAGGACGCTTCAAAAAGCAGGTTTGTCCAAAACCAAGTTCTCTATTTAGTCGCTTAATCCTTAATCCGTTTGAATTTTGCAGCAAAACTCTTCCACATAGTCGGACTCACAAACTAAAAACATAATGGCATTTCGTATAGGTCTTATTTGGTTGTTTGGACTGCTGTGTTGGTGAGTCAAATTAAGGAATAAGGCAATTTTCGACGTAAATAGTTATTTTTGAAGTAACGCGTTACTTTAAAAATAACGCTTTATTTAAAAGTAGTGCTTTATTTCAAACTATAACGCGTTGAGGTAACGAGCTACTTTCAAATAACGAGTTACTTTTAAGTAACGAACTACTTCTAAAGTAAAGAAGTTACTTCCAAAGTAAAGAAGTTCCAGTAACGCGTTATTTTCCAATAACTAACGAAAATAAAGTTATCATTATTCGAAAGTGACTGTAAATTTTAAGTAACGAGTTATTTTTAAGCAAAAGTAACTGTAAAGTAACGCGTTACTTTTTTCAAGTAACGATCCCAGTTCTGCTGTTAAGCTTATTGTTATGGTTACGTTGGATTTATTTTAATTAAATAATTTTACTAAATAACCTACCCATTTTTTTTTTAAATTAATTTGGAAAAATATTTTGGAATTGAATCTACTCAGATATTTTACACATTCTGGCAACTCGGCTTTCTGTTTTATAACCCTGAATTATATTAGGGTCAACCTGTCAAATTTCCATGGATAATGCTACGCCAATAATATCTGAAAAGCATATACAGTGAGCACGTACAGATTGGAATAAATTCTATAAAATATACAGGGTGGATATTTTTCAAAAAACATCGGACACGTCAATTTTTGATTTAAGTGGCCGTTTTTTTGAAGATAATGCCATGTATATATGTTATGACAGGTTTTAATAAAAACACCAATTTTTTCTTTCATTTTCAAATTCTACGTTAAATTCTGAACATATTTAATGTATCATGTCCTATACCTATCTTAAACTGTTTCGGAAATATTGACAGTTGAAAATTGACTTTTTTGCAACTTTGACAGGCTGTAGAACCTAAATGGTTAATTTTAGAGCAGACCGATCATACATTCTCGTCTCAGTTTTTCATGCACTATCATTTGACACCAACTTTGAAGGTTTTTTGAAAAATATCCACCCTGTATGTTTTATAGATTTTATTCCAACCTTTACGTGCTCACTGTATAATTATTTTTCGTAGGTTATATATGGTCTTCATTTCCTGTGCTAGCTCTGTATATTTTGATATTTTTTCAGTTCTTTCGCTCTCTTTGTTATCATCCAGAGGGATTGTTATGTCGATGATGTGTACTTCCCTTTCCTTTTTGCGAATGACAAGTATATCAGGTCTGTTATGCTCTACAGGTCTGTCCGTGATAATGTCCGTGTCCCAGTAGATCCTGCATTTATCATTTTCATGGATTTTCTCAGGTAAGTACATGTAGTATGGCTTTTCTTCTTGTAACATTAGCATTTTCTTATAGATTGCTCGATGGAGTATGCCAGCAACTTTATTTATACCCAATTAAAGCGTTGTCGATCCAAAAATTGATATTTTGCTTTGTTTTGATTGGGGTAGGATCGGAAAAAAAAAACACCAACGGAAGTTTGTTTTCTTTAAAATTAGTATGTTCCTAATGTCCACCTTTTAAATATTTATTTATTTATTAAATTTTTTACGTCTATTGTAGTGTCCTGAGGATGCAAATAAATTTTGCGAAACGTCGACAATTTTAAAGAAAACAAACTTCCGTTGGTGTTTTTTTTTTTCCGATCCTACCCCAATCAAAAAATTGAAATTTCATAAAAAAGGCGGCTCAGTTGATCTCTTTGAAGTCACGTGGGAATCTATAGGCATCTAAATATTATTATCATGACAAATGAAAACAAATTGGTTAATAAAGAATAAACATACTCCAGATATTTCTATAAAAACTGAAATGACGATCGCCATTGCCCCGAAATTCTAGCTGATTTACCTCTAGAATACAGTGGAGTTAATACGTTAAATAAATGGGCAAAATTCATATAGTAGGTAATCCTTAAAATTCCGTTTTAAACTATTGAAATAAATCTAAATATTTGAATGGGACTATTATTCCTTAATTAAAAATTCAAATTTGAAATTGATTTTTATTCAATTATCTGTGTAATTTTATGCTTTTGTCCACTTCTAAAGAGAATATCTCACACTGTCAACAAGAGCGGCTTAGCTTTGTCGGCAAGTGACAAAGCCTAGCGGCATCGCCAACAATTTTCAAGTTTTTTTGCCGGCGTGCGGTGTCTTTGTTATAGTGTACCAGGACTAGGCATAAAAATATAAAAATTATTTTATATTATTATAAGGGGTATTTTTCTAATTTTGAGTAGTCACCATAGAGATGCGATTTTCAATTGATAATGGTTATACTTTACTGCCTTGGGGCAAGGTAAGTGCATGCTGAGGAAATATGCTGGATTGTTTCAGCAGATGTATGGCAGAGTCGACATTTGTCGTTTTCATTTTGTTGCTTAGCTATAAATTTCAGGTAATTTTTGGTAGGTATTACCTGCTATTGTATTGCTGTGAGAATTTCATACATCTGTCAAAAATGGTATTCCAACAATAAATTGACATGTTTTGATTGTTGATTTGAACCAATCAGATTGTAATTACGCGATAATTTGCACTAGTGCAAATTATCAGATAATTGCATACTAACTGGTGCGAAAACTGGTGTTTTGACATTTTTTGACAAAAAATTTAAATTTTTGATTTATGAAATTCTCTCATTAAATACAACTCGTGCAATGGAAATATATTTATAATTTTCGACAAATTTGCACTCATGTGTTTTTAACTAAAAAAGGCACTCGTGCACTACGTGCACTCGTGCTCTTTTTCAACTAAAAATGCATTCGGGCAAATTTCCTAAAAATTATCAATAATTTCCATTGCACTAGTTATATTACTATTGATAAATCCTTCTGTCTCTGGTCTAAGGCAGCCTTCCTGCAGATACTGAATGGAGAGGTGAGTGTCAGCTTCAGGTCCGAATAGATTAGTAGGGTATCGCTCGTCTGGCACTTTTGACTTTCACTCATGTATTACCTTATTTTCTAGCCTTATTGTTTCAGGGACGCGTGGGGTAGCAAGGCTTAAAGGAGAGAGACTCTTGTCAGCATCCCTAATGTCTTTATGTAGAGGGTACTCAGTTTGATCGAATAATTTTCGAAGTTTGTCTATCTGGACTTCGTGAGAGGTTGTGAAGTTGACGAGTCCTCTTCCAACGTTGTTTCTGGGTAAGAACAACTTTGAGCTAGATGCATGTGGGTGGTGCATGCAGTACTTACTTGGTCATAGATGTCCTTTTTTTACGGTCTAAGTCTTCTAAATCAGTTTTAGACCACCTGAGTACACCAAATGTACTCTGTATAATTGGGGCCACACATGTTTACGGCAGTTATTTTATTTTTTGCGTATAACTCAGTTTTAAGGATACTTTTAAGCCTTCCCATAAATGCATTTACAATACGTTTTTTTCATTTCACTATGATCCGTTGTTAATGCCTGCTGCATACCTAGGTATTTCTATGTCGTTCTGATTGATAATTGGTGTTAATCGTTTCCACGCCTCGGTCCATCTGTTGGGCGGTCGACCTCGGCTTTGGTTGTCTGCTCTTGGCCGCCATGCCAGGTTTTTCTGAGTTCATCTACAATCGTTTAATCTTGCAATATGCGTTGCTCATCTCCATTTTG